CCCCCCGCAGGTATGTCGACGGACATGATTACTTCTATGCCGTCTCTGAACTCTTGGACTCGGCCCGCTCCTGCATCTTTATCCAAGATTGGTGGTCAGTAGAAAAGGAGATATATCAGCCATGCCATCAGTGACTCAGCCCATGTACCACTCGCCTCAATTTCTCTCCCCCCCCTATGATCCATGTTCCAGGTTGAGTCCCGAGCTCTATTTGCGTCGTCCACCCGCTCAGAACGAACTATGGAGGCTCGATCGCATCTTGAAACGAAAAGCCGAGACCGGTGTCAAAATCTTCGTCATTGTCTACAAAGGTTGACGTTTTCATCCTCGAGCGCCTATCTTCTTGAACTCTCACACACTGAACTCTGCCCGTCTTTCTCCCGGCTTGCCCATTTAGAGGTTAGCGTCAGTAATACGATGAATTCTCTGCATACCAAACACGCATTGGAAGGTTTACATCCTAACATTGCCTGTATGCGACATCCAGACGTGAGTACATATTTCAATTATTCATTTTATTTTTCTCCCGTAGCTCCTTCACCAAGTCATATTGGGTTTTTTTTTTTCAGCATTTCGATGGCGAAGATACTGTATTGTTTTGGGTGAGTGATTCCTGGATCAGGCAGATTCAACTTGCTACTTTTAGGGCTTACGCGATTTTTTTGGTCTGTCTATAGTCACATCATCAAAAAGTCATTGTCGTGGACAGTGTGTTTATTCTAAAAGCCTCAACCAGCCTGTCTGGGCAGTAACTCATGTCTTGTATCGCTTTTCAAGACAATACGGCGTGTATAGGTGGTCTAGACCTGTGCTTCGGTCGCTGGGATACATCCTCGCATTCTTTGGCCGATTGCCATATCGCGGACTTGAGGAAGACAGTTTGGCCAGGTATAGAGAAGTTATTTTTGACGAAAATCCGGGGAGTCGGATGGCATGTTGAATTGTAGCATGCTTTCTTCTACTTGATCGGCTCTTCAGGTCAAGACTATAATAACGCGCGAGTGCAAGATTTCCAGAATGTAGAAAAATGGGCTAGTAACCAGCAAAGTAGGCTTGAAGTCCCAAGGATGCCTTGGCATGATGTAAGTACTTTTTTTTCTTCCCGGTCAATTGGTCCAATCAAAATTTAAATCTGAAATCAACTTGACGAGCGGCTACGTGTTTTTCACAGGTTCACATGATGATTCAAGGCCCGACGGTTTTTGATATTTGTCAGCATTTCGTGGAACGATGGAACTTCATCTACAACCTGAAGTACAAGAAAAAGCGTGGCACCGATGGCCGATACGAGCTCCTCGCTTTCCCCCATGTCCTTGGTCAGGAGATGCCCGACCATCCTTCCCACCCAGACCATGAACCTGTGACCCAGCACCCTCATTACCAGCAGTGGGCCCAAACAGGCCGTAGGTTTCTTGGCATGGAAGCGAATCCACAGATCAGTACGCAGTCACCCAGCACCAACTTAGACCCTAAGGGTAATATGAAGGTTCAAGTCGTTAGGAGCTGCGGAGATTGGAGCAATGGAACTACCACCGAGGTGAGAAAAACAATCTCTAAGCTATGCGTGTTTACTGCCTCTGTGTGAACCACCATGATTAATGCATGAATCTTCTCTTTACCAGCATTCCATTCAGAACGCTTACATTCAACTTATCGAGCAAGCCCAGAGGTTCATATACATGTCAGTAGCCTCTCCTCCTGAGTATCATCATAATTGCATTTTCGTTGGCTGAGATGACTTCTCCTTCACCAGCGAAAATCAATTGTAAGCTGCTGTCATGAGGCCTCAGCAGGCGGTCATATTGTCTGATAAAGCCCAGCAGCACAAGGCATCTTCGGCATGGGCTAATTGAATGATTTTCCAATCCTTTACTAAGCTTTATTACAACCTGTAGCACTGACAAGGATGGCCAGATTCGAAATACCATCGGTTTGGCTTTAGCAAATCGGATCGTCCAGGCCGCTCGCGCAAATCAACCATTCAAAATCGTCGTGGCAATACCGTGTATCCCTGGCTTCTCGGGAAATTTAGACGACTCAGATCAATCTGACGGGACGATGGCTATAATGGATTGGACTTATAAGTCTATTTGTCGTGGCCCAGGCTCTATCTTCAGTCATGTCCAGAGTCACGGAGTCGATCCTCGAAAGTATATCTCGTTTTACAACCTCAGGAGCTTCGATCGCATAGACTATGATCCCGAAACGTTGAAGAAAATCGAAGATGCAGCAGGTATCAGTTATTATGAAGCCGAAGCCGCATTAGCCAGGACCTACCTCGGCGAATCTGCTGGCTCTGAAGAATTGGAAAAGAACAAAGAGGTTACGTTTAAACTTGCTCAAAAGGGGGAAAGCATGCAAGCTGGCAATCGAGACTTGATGGCTTGCGACGGCGAAACATTGAAGATTGATCTACCTAGGAACGTAGAGGAGGCTCGGCACCGTTTAAGTACCTGGTCAGAGGCTGCATCTCGTTACCACAGGGGAGGTCCCACCTCGATTACCACGAAAAACAATTCCAGTGGATTGGAGGCTCTGCCTTGGTTAGGTAACGAGCAGTCGGAGAGGAACGCGTTTGTTACTGAAGAGCTGTATATTCACACTAAATGTATGATCGTTGATGACCAGAAAGTGATCATGGGATCCGCCAACATTAATGATCGAAGCATGGTGGGCGATCGCGATAGTGAAATCGCTTTGGTAGTCGAAGATCAAGACATTATCGATAGTACCATGGCTGGCGAAAACGTGTGTGATTCTTGGTCGGACCCACCCCTCTTCGACGACATCTCCGCACTAACTGACGCATGTATGTTTCAAAGTGGAAAGCCAGCCGTTTCGCGGCCACCTTACGAAGAAGATTGTATAGAGAGCATCTTGGCTTGTTCTCACCTCAATCCAACTCACTCCAGTCGAACGAGCCGACCAGATCGATGCTGCCTGTCAACGTGCCCCAAGAAGATGTCATGGGTAGCCGTGAAGACCAGATCGTGACCGACCCAATGGGACGTGAATTAGAGGAGATGTGGACCGGAAGAGCTCGTGTCAACACACAAGCATTCAATAAAGTCTTCCGATGTGTTCCTGCGGCCGGTATCTTAAACTGGAAAGACTATGAAGGTAAGAAAATATCTAACTATTGAATTGCGAGTAAAAAAAAGCAGAAAGCTCCAGCCCTTTTTTTCATCGTCACCTCCAGAATATGTACCGAATGGTCCCGATGCCCCCAAGGTGGGTCATGTTGCCCCATCTGCGGGCGACGTGCATGAAGTCAAGGTAAGATTCAAGACAAATAAATCCGCTAGGGAGAGATAAGAAGCCTCACGGGATGTTTTTTATTGATGAATCTCCACTTTTATTTCCTATCTCACCTCTCAGCGCGAGTTGAGTCGGATTCAAGGTCAATTAGTCGAGATGCCGTTGGACTTTCTGGAGCAGGATAAGATGTATCGGGAGGGCAAGGCGGTAAGCACGCGGTTTATCACCCACATACGTAGTCTTGTTTACTTCGTCTCGATCTGCTCCTCCAACACTTTTGACTCTGATATCATCCCGTGTTCCCTGTAGGTTAACCTCGTCACAATGAACATATATACTTAAAAGCTATCGACCATATGTGTCTAGTAACAGTTTGCGCTAGGATTCTTTCTTTCTCTCAGACTGCAAAAGATCATTAGTGTGTGTGTTCATTCCCCCGGCTCAGTGGAAGTTGACTGCGTGATGGAGATCGGGGACACATTAAAAGATCGCCCAACGTGGGGCTCGAACCCACGACAATTCGATGGACTTCCGGAGCGGCTTCAAGGCCAAACCAGGGTCAAGACTCATGAGTAAGAGTCGAATGCTCTACCAACTGAGCTAGCCGGGCTGTGTTTATAGTCGCGCAGTGTAGAAAGAAATCATGCTTTGACAGATTGATGGTTGATTGTCTTTTTCTATATACTAGAGAGGCAGTGGAAATGATTTTTTTGACTGTGGACAACCAATAGAATTTACTATCATGCAAAACAACCCATCAGATTGACCAGGGGTGCACTCGCTCAGACTAGTGGCTATGAGTTATAATATGCCAGAGTGGCTATGAGTTATCATATGCCAGACAGGAGCTTTGAGTTCCTTTGTGGTTCAGGTTCTGAAGCCTGTTTATTCTTCTATTTCAACAAGACAAAACAGTAAATTCCTCATTAAACTTGCCTCTCTTCATTGAGCTCATCTAGTAAAATGAACATCTTCTTTTTCTGCTGTTAGTGTAAACTAGTCATGCATTCCTTTCTGTTTTTTTTCTTGTATATCTAGGCTGGGCTTTTCCTGCTTCTGGAATGAACACCAGACACACCTCAATATCATTTCTTTGGGAAGGAAGGCCAGTGCCCATGCTCTTCTGCCTTCTTGTCTTTTGGACTTGTTATGTGGGCATGTCCACAAAATATGTTATTGATTGATTGGATTAGTTTGGTTTTCAATCAAGAAAAATCCAATGAATGGACTATGTAGTGGATCACCAGAGGGAGTTTCTTGGCTTGTGGTCCCAGAAATTCTTCCCCTGTTGCTTGGCACTCCTTTCTGTGGTCTGGGTATTTTGGAAGACTCAACTCAAATATATCACACATCCCAACCTCTGTTTCATCAGAAATAAAAGAATAGCTGCTCTGTAAACCCTTTTCCCTTTGGGGCTCACAAGGGTGTTACATATTTTGTGAAACACTCAGTTAGCCTTTAACTTGAATTCCCCTTCCTCCCCTAGATGGCAGAGATCCCTTCTCTCCTGTCTAGGTAAGCACTTCCATCTTTCCATTTCTTTTATTATTCTTTCTATTATTTAGAATAATTATTGTACTTACAACATGGAGAGATCCCTTTTCTCCCGTCTAGGCAATAAAGGACACCCTGGTTCTAGAACTTCTGCGCCTGCCGGTCAGTGAGGTAATAAACCCTTACATGCTCCATCCCCTTGGTCAGTCTAGTGCCTCTCAAATACGGGAAACCCACATATTTCTAAGAATAGAAATACAATCCTCATTTCCAATGGTATATAATGATACTTATCAGCAAAAGAAGGATGAAGAGGACACAATGAAAAAATGTAGCGTAATACCAGAAAAATAAACCATGCCAAAAGCAATGGAAATACATGCCAAGTGACATTCAGTAATATCAATTGAAACTCCAGATTTGCTTAAGTGATACTCTGAAATTAGACAAATGGCCCCTTTTTCTCCATTTAAAGGAGTCATATAAATTTCTACTGAGTTTATGGCCTGGAATTGTTATGGGGTTAACTTGATTTCAGCTGAAATATATTCCCCTCAATTTTGGGATGGTGATGTAATCAGGAGTTCTGGAGAACTGAAGAAAAGGAAATCAAGGTACAAGAGACACAGGCCATCAGAAAAGAAGAAGTGTAGAAAAACAGACCTGTGACATCTCTCAGTGACACATTCCAAACTCAAAGGGCTCAGACCTAATTTCACTGATTCACACTCTCTCACCCCCAAACTCTTTATCCACCTTCTGCATCCGCAAATCACTCCATTCAACTTCATCCAATTCTCCACATCTCAACTCCCTCACCCTGTTTTCCAATCCTATCTGTTTAAATAAATGTCTGTGTTTGTTAAATCTCAATATTCCATTGAATTCTATCAAGTTCTTTAACAAGACTCACCGCTCCACTCACTCAGCTGCTCACTCACTTCACTTCAAAACCATATCTTTTATACTACTGTCTCACTCCACCATCAACTTAACCTTCCTGCTTTCTTACTTCAAAATACTCTAATCAATCTTTTTCACTCTTGACATTGGCAATATTTCTCCCCAACTGCTCCGGCATCAACTCAACTTGGTGAGAATTCACCAATGGACCTCCCAGGATCTACTTTTCTGTTTATCTCATTCTCTTTATTATATCAAGTTTTCCATCAATCAGTCTCCTGTGTTACTTTTCTCTCTTGACTAAATATCGGATGTCTCCTAATATTCAATTGAATATCTTTGCTGTAAATATTTCTTTTATTTAATGGTTCTTCTGTTATTGTCAGCTTTGCCCTCCTAGCTCTTGTTAAATCTTCAGTCGGGTTTTTAGTCCTAGAAATAAAATGTTAATCCCATTACTATCAACTCAATCCTCATCTCCAATTCATCACTTGAGTCAATATCAATTGACTCACAACTCCCAACGGACTAGTCAACAATAAATCACTCTTCTTGACAACACACTTTGATACAGCTCTTTTCCTTTTCAATTTGGTGTGAAATCAAGCTGACAAAAAACCTCAACCATCACCTTTTAGCTAATTATTCTTGTATTTCTCAGTCCTTGTCCCTTAATCTCTCCAGTTCTCTAAATCCTGTTCCTTCTTCCTCTTTATATCTCTATATAAATTTGAAGGGTCCTATCTTTCTCTTTATTCTATAAATCTGACAACTCAAAGTCCCGGCATCTTCCATGGCAAAGGCCCAGCCTCTGCCTTGGCAAAGGCCCAGCCTCTGCCTTGGCAAAGG